ACTATTTCAGATTTCCAATGGAAGAAAAACTTCAAAGAGAAAGAGGGTGGAGAAGCCTAAAAGAATTGATCAACCTAAGAAGAAGCTAAGTGAACAACGGTCCAAGAGTGAACAAGCGTCGAAGTTGCACTCCTCGAAAGGTTCACCCATGCCACCTACTCTACTTGTTGAAGACATTGTTCTTCAATCGCTCTCTACTGACATGACCTTTCTTCACAACCGTGCTTGTCATTTGGTCGATCCCATGGAAGTTGCACTTCCTAAGGCAATGTTCCACTATGATGAGGATGCAATTGCATGGATCAACAAAGAAGATGTGAAGGAATTTCTACGTGGTGCAAAGCTTAACATTTCCCTCATTCAAACATTCATGAGGTACTTCAATGCCTACATAATCTATACTTTTTTCAAGTTATTCAAATTGATGGTGATTATCCTACATCTGATAAATTATTCAATGTTCATGCACGCAGAGCACTACAGGAGCACTTAACTGACACTGATTCTCCTTGTAAAGTTGGGTGGTTATGCCCCGAGCAGTTATCCACTACTAAAATCATAGGCAACCCCTATGATGTGTTGTACTATGTTGAACAGAGTATAAGGGAATCAGCGCGTGCGGGAGACAAGTTCATATTCGCCCCATGTTATAGAGAGTAAGTCTAACCATGTCAAATTCAATCGATTTGGGCTCATTATATGTTGACTCCTAAATATTAATTACCTTGTCTATTGTGAACTTATGTAGGGAGCATTGGAGCCTCATGGTGATTTGTAATTCCACTAACACAATTTATCACCTTGATTCAGCTCGATCATCGAAGAAGTGGCTCGTGAAGTCTATATTGCAAAAGTAAATATATATAGCAACCTAGTGATGATTATTGCTAATAATAACTAATTTAGTAATCATACGACTAATCAAATTTGAAAGTACTTTTTTATACTACAGTGTTATGAAGAAGCTACATTGTCGTGCTCCAAAGGGTCCAACATGGAAGACACCGTTGGTAATTTACATGATATTGTGATTATCTTGAAAATCTATGGTAGTAAATATTTGCTCATTTCCTTTGCATGTTTCACTGATGTGATTTGTTTGTCATATGATAATGCGCACAACAAGAGAATGGACTTGATTGTGCTTTGTATGTGATGAGATTCATGCTTGACATTGTGACTCATTGTACGGACACTCAACAACTTGATGAGGTAAGTCCTAAAACTTATTGAAATGCTATATTGATGTGATTTCACGCCTTAGACACCTAATATTACCCAACAATGGCATGTTATGAGAAACAAAAAAGCTATTTCACAAGAAATGTAGAAAATGGGCTGAATAGAAGTCATATGGGCCATATTAGGGCCATTTTGTGTTAATATGCTCTTTTGATGTGATTTCTTTCCTTATACACATATAACTAGATAATATTGACATGTTATGAGATAAATAAAGTTCATTTAATAAGAAATGTAGGAAATGGGCAAAGTAAGGTCATATAGGCCATATTCGGGCCATTTTGAGTAAAAAGCGTCATAAACCTTAATAAAATGCTCTCCTATACAATTTTAGGGTTACACACGTACAACTACCCAACATTGACATGTTATGAGAAAGAAATAGTTCATTTGATAAGTAACGTATAAAATGGGCTACATAGAATTCATATAAGCCCTATTTGGGCCATGTTGAGTAAAATGCGTTGTTAAACTTCTTGAAATGCTATATTGATGTGATTTCTAGCCTTAGACACCTAATATTATCCAACAATGACATGTTATGAGAAACAAAAAGGCTATTTCACAAGAAAGGTAGAAAATGGGCTGAATAGAAGTCATATGGGCCATATTAGGGCCATTTTGTGTTAATATGCTCTTTTGATGTGATTTCTTTCCTTATACACCTATAACTAGATAATATTGACATGTTATGAGATAAATAAAGTTCATTTAATAAGAAATGTAGGAAATGGGCAAAGTAAGGTCATATAGGCCATATTTGGGCCATTTTGAGTAAAAAGCGTCATAAACCTTAATAAAAGGCTCTCCTATACAATTTTAGGGCTTACACACATACAACTATCCAATATTGACATGTTATGAGAAAGAAATAGTTCATTTGATAAGTAATGTAGGAAATGGGCTATATAGAAATCATATAGGTAATATTTGATAAAATACATATTATTGTTTGCCTAATTAATTATTTTTAAAATAATGTTTTTGTATTTCAAGTTTTGCAAGGTCCAAAAGGATGGTCCGTTGACAATCAAGGAGCTTAATGAAGTTCGTGACATGTTGGTGTCTTTTATCACCTTCAACATGTAAATGGCATTGTAATTGTAAATTATTTATGTTAACTTTTGAATTATATAACTTATTATTCATTATATATGTACTTACTATTATTTGTATATGTAAGCAATTTTTTTTTTGTATTGCGTTTGGGAATATTTATATCTATATATATAATTGAATTCTTGTTTTTAATATTATTTTTGTATCTTATTGTAATAATTAATAATATTATTATTATTAGTTATTATAATAATAATATTATTAATTATTATATTTAATATAATTGCTGGAATTACAGGTTATTATTATTGCTGGAAACAGGTTTTTTTTTGTAAATATTATTGCACGATGGGAAAAAAAAACGAAAAAAAAAAATTGGTGAATAGGCACCGGTTAGGCAGCAATCGGTGCCTAAAATATCTACCACAAAAAAAAAATGGCGGGAGAGCAGTTTTAGGCACCGGTTAACCGGTGCCTATTTTACCCTATGGCACCGGTTAACCGGTGCCTATTCCACCCTATGGCACCGGTTTTGAACCGGTGCCAAAAACCAAGTTTTTGGCACCCCTCACATAGGCAGCGGTTCAAACCGGTGCCTTAGACCGGGTTTGAACCGCTGGCAAATGCCTTTTTTCACCTAGTGTGGGTAGCTTTATATTTTATTATTATTCTCTCCTAATATAGATCTCACATCATTTCTCTTTTTCATGGTCCCCACTTTAATAATAAAAAATATTATCACCTTTAACATATTTTCTCCTTCACCAATCGATTGTTGGTTAGTGTTGATTGAGATTATACTTGGTAAGGATGACCCATGTTCGATCCCCCGCAGTAACAATTGAAAGGGGACTAGAACCCAACCACCGAGAATTAATCCTTGAATCCGGATTAGCCCAAAGGATCAATCGAGTGGAACACCAAAAAAGAAGAAAGAAATTTTCTCTTTCATTGTCTCCATCTTACTTTTAGTATAATTATTTATTTACCACTCACGATGTTATATTACTCTCCTAAAACTCCATGAATTCCAAAATGATGCAAATAATAAAAAATAAAAAAAAAATTTTTAAAAAAAAACCCCGAGGGAATACTATGTATAGAGTTTAGATTTATTTTATTTTATTTTATTTTTGAACGGGATAACGAAGCTAGATTTGATTGTTAATATAACAAGAATAATGTGTGATCGATAATAATTAGCTTATATTAATAGAAAGTTAGGCCCTATTCTTTTAAGCTTTTGAACAGAGCAGAGCAAATTGAAGCAGAGTCGAGCCGAGTAATAAGTCATAACCTCCTATGTACTCAAAATTATAATGCAAAAAATCTAACTAACCATTTAAAAATTTAAAGCCTATAAAAGAGAGATAAAAAGATAAGAACGTTTATAACACTAGTATATATAATGACACAACATTTAAGAAGTGAACAAACCATGTTATATTACTAGATGATAAATTGAGGTGTATCCTTTCCCCCTATTATTAAACCAATTGAACTAGTTGTGTGCAATCTATATTAGTAATATATTAAAAGGTGTTTTTAACAACGTCTAAATGTCACATAAGCTCCCCTCACTACGCCACGTCATCCATTTAAGTACTTATAACCCTACGTGACTCTTTATGATTCTTTATCACCAAGCTATGTGATTCTTATATAATCTTTTGAATACAAAATATTAATATGTAGCAAATGACAATATGAATAACAAATTTAATTACAAGAAAATAAAATCATAAATTAACATGCTTATTAATAATTCATTAGTTGCATGTAATAACCCGGGGCATCATCTGGGCCCAAAAACTAGTTATATTATAACATAAAAATAATTTAAGCATTTATGAGGTAGGTCATAGTCCGAACAAATCAAGCATGTTTTTGCAAAATTCACTCATGTGTCAATAGCCTTAAGAGTTCAAATCTCCTATACGCAACTTCCACACATGAATGTATATAATATCGTAAGTTTTCTCATATTTAACACCATAAAAATTACTCCGTAACAACAATCCTACTTCAATTTTTCTAATACGAGTATCAAATTTTTATATTTACATCGTACTTGATTTCTCACAAATATCATAAGTTAGAACAATTCAATAATGACACCCTAACCTAGCTAAAAAGTATAAACCATGATTAATAAGTACTCCCTTCGTCCCATAATTACAGTCAAATATACTATTTTGGGTGTCCGAAAATGTTCCTCCTATTACTTAAAATAACATTCAATCATTACTTACTTTTTACCTTTTCCATACAAATTACACACATACCTAAAAAATCATTACTTACTTTTTTACTTTTTCATACAAAATACACACATACCAAAAAAATCATTACCTACTTTTTAACTTTTCCATATAATATTCTCTACTTTTTATCAACATTCTTCACTTTTTATCTTTTTCATACAATATTCCTCATATTTTTTTATCATCCTTAAAAAACGTACTTTTTAGAGTTATTTACCTGTAATTATAGGACGAAGGGAGTAGTTTAAAACCATAAAGAAAGAAGACAAAGACAATAAAGATAGTGCTGACAACACTAATTACAATAAACCACCATTCCAAAAATCAGTACAATTCCAATTAGTTCAATATTATAGGCCCAGTCCAGCCCAATGACGTACGTTAATTGCGAGTTTAGATTACAGTTTTGACATCGTATTAAAGACTCAGCACTAAATTGTCACCTACCTAAATATCTTTGACATTTTCACTTGACTTTTTCTTCTTCTTTTGCCATTTTCTCCCTAAAACTTCACTATTTAAACCCCCTTTCTTCCTTTCTCTCTCCTACCAAACCGTTAATCCCTACATCCCCGCCATTTCCCTCTCTTTCTCTCTCCTCCATCTTTCAATGGGTCACGAAACTCTCTCCAACTCGTCGGAAAACGTACCGGAAACCGCTGAGTACAAGATTCCGGCGACGGAAAACTCCGGCAAAACGTCGCCGGAAAATGAGAGGAATGGAGTTTTTTACCCTCTCGAGAATCTTCCGAGACCGGAGGCACCACCGGGGTTAAACGGTGACGTTTTGAAGAAGCCTTCTTTGGAGAACAATTTTACCGTTGATGTTCCGGCGATCGGAAAATACCTTCTTGAAACGAAGAACAGTCTTTCTGCTGCTATCTCGCGACGGTTGTCGTTTGAAGACGACGTTAAAGGAGGTGGTGGTGTAACTGAGTTTTATATGTCTGGTATTCAAGTTGTTGTGCGAACTAAACAGGTTGATGAGGAAACTTCGGAGTTGGCTAATCTTAAAGGCCGAGTTACCTTTTACTCTAAATCCAATTGCAGGTACTACTTTGACACTCTTGTCTCCCCGTTCAATTCACTTTACGTATTCAAAATTTTCATTTTATCAGAACAATTACATCTTTTTGTTTTTGATTCATGTTCTTTCGAATTCCAATTTTAACGGTAAAAGATTATAAGATTGAAATTACTCCATGATAATATAGAATAGTTTTTTTTTTCAATCAATATTCTTTCAAGTTTAATGTAACACGACCTTAATAGTACTAGACTACTAGTAAAGACGTGAAATGGACCAATGGCGTAATTTTACACGCGAGTGTTGGGAGTTACACTCTGTGGGCCTGTGGCTATGTTAATCAATGTAGAGTCAAATATGTAGTATTATTGTGTTAATGATTTACCATAATTGTTAGAGTTAATATGGAAGATAATCCACATTTCCAATTATAATATAAAGTCAAATATTTTGTTACCATAACATTTTTATATTTTGAGCAGGGATAGTGGCGCAGTAAGGAAAATGTTACGAGAAAAAGGATTAAAATACGTAGAGATAAACATAGACGTATATCCGGCTCGAGAAAAGGAGCTGATAGACCGAACCGGCGGTTCAGTAGTGCCGCAAATATTCTTCAATGAAAAATTAATAGGCGGTTTAGTGGCATTAAACTCGTTACGGAATAGCGGTTTGTTGGACCAAAGGGCTAAAGAGTTGCTTGGGAGTGAGTGTCCTGATGATGCACCTGGACCGCCGGTGTACGGGTTTGATGAACCGGAGGAGGAACGGACGGATGAGATGGGTGAAATAGTTAAGCTTTTACGGCTCAGATTACCTATTCAGGACCGGTTGATCCGGATGAGGCTTGTCAAGAATTGTTTCACTGGTACCGAGTTAGTAGATGTTATTGTACACCACTTGGGCACCTCACGTACTGAGGTACTCTTCTGCCACTCTCTTTTGATAATTAATTTTCGTATTTGATTTTCCTTACGATAATTTATTGTGAGATTGATGGATTCCTTGCTAATTACATTGGCAAAGTTTAAATTTATCTGAAATTTAAATTTACGTGAGACTAATACGAAGTACGCATGTAACGTAAATTGTACGTGAGCATGGTAAATTCTACAAATGAAATATTTTAAGGGTAAGGGGCGCTTCATGCTTGGTTGTAAGCTAGACTTGTAACGTGGATCTCGTTTTCTTGTGAGATAATTTTATACAAACATATCGGTACTAGGAGGGAAAACTAGAATTAAGTTCTTTCTATGTCTTAGATTGACCTTCTCAAATGAAGGGTATAAAAAAACTATAATAAATGGTCAAAATTTGTATAATTTGACTATGTTTTTTTTTGGATAATCTTGTTGGTTTATTTTTGAAAATGAATTATATTGAAAAGTTTGTAGATAGGTGCTACATACGGATTATGTTACAATTGGTCAAATGTTTGTTGACCTATAAATTTGTAAGAGGATGTCAAATCGTATATAAGGTAGTATTGGGTAGAACTTTGCAAAATTCATGATCTTTTCGTGAATTATTCAACTTTATGTGTTCATATGTTTTGGATTAAATTAGTGGTCCATTTGTTATTAAAAAAAATTCATTGAGATCTGTTTGTGTATCATGATTAAGATTGATACGAGTACTTAGTACAGAGTATTGAATATATATGCATACAATTATTTAATTGCTGATAATACTGTATTAGAAAAGCCCAAGCGTTACAGAGTCATAAATAGTGAGAAGGATTGTTTAATCCTTGGTACTTGAAATCTTTTCCAAGTAGTATGACAAAGAGGATGATGTTATATAATTAGTTGACTTGTTAGTTGATTGTTACACGCTTATTACTTTAAAACTTTTTTCACTTAAAACTTCTAAGTATGAGTTTACAACAGCACTTACCTATTTGTGGTGCTGACTTGTGCTTAGATTGTTGTCTTTCCACTTTACTTATGACTTTGTCTTTATGTTTGGATATGGTCCACTAATTAAGGATTGATTACCAACTAACTAACTTTTCTTTAGGACTTGGTCTACCTTTTGAAATTTCTACTGCGTTTTAAATAAGTTGCACAAATTATGATTTTAGATTATGATTTTTTGTGTTACAAAGTCTACTTTTGTGGTGTGACAAAGATAATGATGGCATCTACCAAGGGATGTGATGGAAGAAAATGATGAGAGCTTGTGGGTTGTGGTAGACTGGTAGGTTAGAGGAAGATAATTGCAACCAACGCCTCACCCATCTAATACAAGTTCCAAAGATTATGGGACATGCATCTTGTTGCTTTTGGGTATTTTACCTTTTAACCTATGTTACTCGAACTCTTCATTTTACCTCAAGTATACTTGTGTTGGACTTTTGACACTCGGACATAGGTAGGGGCCGTAGGGCACTGAATCACTTCTTTATAAACCAAAATCATGGAAAATTTTCACAAAATAGCCTAGTAGACACTTGGACATGTATCCGTGTCGGACATAGGTACTCAAATCCGAGTAACATAGCTACACTAGTACAATACAAAATAATGTATTCCACCCAGTAGTGATAAACATGTTTTCTAAGCTTCTAAGAAAAGACCTTCCATCTGTAAGAGTGTAACAGATTCAACTAGGACTTAGAACTATTCAATAGAAATGTGTACATGACTAAAATATTTGAGTTTATTATTGTATACCCCTTAGACTTATGAGTTTAGAATGTAACCAGAGAGACAGCTACAACTGCAAATGAAGAATGGTAAATATGACTACGAGTATTCTCAATAGGTGGTGTAATGAGGATTTCAAAGTCTATAAATGTTGTTGAATCATGGAAATGATGAGGACTAAAGTTCTCAAGTACATTAACAACGTTGATAATATGATTTGGATTTTGGATGTTTATATTATGGATCAAGAATTAGTTGGACAATAAGCTAATGGATGAAACTGTTGGATGTTCTTTTCCAATTCCTTGTATTTGTGTAAAAAGCTGCCATAACCTAACCTTTATTCTCATTCAGGCAATTGGGATAGCAAAAGAGATTGTTAGGAAGCACTTCATACACCATGTGTCCAGGTAAACAAAGACTGCTACCTGCACTGTCTCGAAAATTTGTAGTTTTTCTCTGTTACAATACACGAACTTAATGTATGAGGTTCCTTTGCTGCAGAGGAAATTATTTCGAGGATGGGAATGAAGTATACAGATTCCTTGAGCATGAGCAATTTATTCCAAAATGCTTCAATTTTCGAGGATCCTTGGATGATAGAGAGCCTGAATCTGCTTTTAGAATTGGCCAAAGACTGATGAAGATCATGTCTGCCATACTCGAATCTTATGCATCTGAAGACAGGCATCATCTTGATTACTTGGCTATCAGCAACAGTGAAGAATTTCGCAGGTATACTACTTAGTATTCAAAGCATTCTCTATTTGTTTCTGTTGGCAAGTAGATAGATTATGTAAGAGTACATCACAGTTGATGAATTATGCTTACCTTGCGCTGGTTCTGAACCACAGATATTTGACTATGGCCCGAAGTCTTCAGAGAGTGGATCTTACTGCTCTGTCAACTGATGAGAAACTGGCTTTCTTCCTTAATCTTTACAATGCTATGGTCATACATGCTATGATAAGGAGAGGATATCCAGAGGGGATGATCGAGAGGAAATCCTTTGTTACCGACTTCCAGTACCTAGTTGGAGGAAGTTCATATTCTCTCAATGCTATTAGGAATGGTATACTCAGAAGCAACCACAGGGCTCCTTATGCTTTGACTAAACCTTTCAGTGCAGGAGATGACCGCCTTCAGGTAAAATCTCTTTTATCTTCTTCATCTTGGAATGTTTGAGCAATAATCATCCATCTTATGATTTATCTTATTACTATGTATTCAGATAGCTCTACCAATGGTCAATCCATTGATTCATTTTGGACTTTGCGATGGTAGTAAGTCGAGTCCATCTGTTAGATTCTTCTCACCTCAAAGTGTGTATGCTGAGCTGAGAGCTGCAGCAAGAGAGTTCTTCAGCCGCAACCCAATAGAAGTGGATTTATCTAAAAGAACTGTCTGTCTCCCCTGCATCTTGAAATGGTAATTCATCAGTCATCACTTCATATCTTCCTAACTTAGACAATACTTAATCATAAACATTTGAATAGAACTGAAACTAATGCTCCTTGCAATATGATGCAGGTACAGTGTAGATTTCGGAAATGGAAAAGATATCTTCAAGTGGATTCTGAGTTATTTGGATGCAGAGAAAGCAGGTCTCTTGAGCCATCTTTTAGATGATGGAGGAGTGATCAACATCATTTACAAAAATTATGATTGGTCCATGAATTCATAAGTTAATAGTTTCAAGGTTATCAAGCAATAGAATACTACTCTGGAAATTGTAGTACTATGATAGTGTAATTTGAACAAGCGATATAACAGCTTAATCTGGACCGAGCATATGGATTGTGAGTATAGATTTAGACTAGAAATTTTGTATGTAGTTCCATTCATAATCAGGATCTCATTCCCATTGCGAATAGAACTACTTCTATAGACAAATAAAACATTTTTTGTGAGATTTGAGTAAATATTATGTCAACTAGAAGCATTCAAGATTTTGTTTCTTGAGACTGAATGAAGAGTGGTTGTAATAAGACTGTAATTTGTATAGATATTAAGTATTCTTGGTTTCTTCCCATGCAAATGTGTTACTTCCCTAACAAAAGTGTCTGCAGTAGCACAAAAATTCAATTAAAGCCATAAATTAAAAGAAAAACACTTTTTTTTTTTAATAAACTTGACATAGTATATAAATTTGATTTTCTTTTATTTACCTGTGCCAAATTGGTAACATGCTCGTCAAAAAAAAAAAAAAAAAAAAACAAAAAAAAAAATGGTAACATGAAACCTTCAATATTGCATAGATAGATAAGGTAATGCAAAATATAAATTCAGTCAATATTTGTTGCAGTTTTCTGAAATTGTCACAATAGTACGGCAAATTGCCACATTATAAAACCAGTACTTGAACAAATTTGACTCCCAGAAAAATCTAAGGTTACACTTCAAGTGTTCTTATTTAAACAGGAAAGATCAATACTCAATAGGATATCAAATTATCAAACAACCTTATGTTCCCATCCAAGCCAGGAATAAAGTAAAAATAGAGCTGGATTGAGGGTTCCCTTCGCCTCAGTTGTGTCTTCTTCGAGCTGAAGGAGGCAGGTATGAATCTTCATTTCCAACGAGAGCAAATTGAACTTACTTTTACCATGCTTGATTGCGTTCTGAACTACCCGGAAAGATTCAAGAGATGCACAACTTTCTTCATTTGCGAGGACGGATGTTCCTACCTGCACAGGAAGGTAATGCAGGTTCAAACAATCATTCTATTGTGATCAGGATATTCTACTGTGAGTGCAGCAAGTGTGGCTTGAGCAACTGGTGTGCAGGTCATATACTCATATATCAGTATAAAGCGATAGACTGAGCAATAACTGAAAGCAAAAATTGTGAATCATTTTTTTAGAGTAAGAGATGAAAATTACTCTATTCTGCAGATTAGCAGACATGCAGTGTTGCTTCCATGACACAGAGATCTTTTCGATCTTCTTCAACAATTTGTCAATCTCTCTGGCTTGTGACAACATTTTGTTCACGTAACAAACTTTTTTCAGCTTTTCAAGAGCAACCACTTTTCGCTGTGGATGGAGTGCATTGACCTTGATCTACATTAAACCAGGATTACTTAATATACAATTGTGAAGAACAGGAAGGATGGAATAGAGGAAGGAGATAGAGAGGAGGGGAAAGGGGTCAGAACTCAGAACTCATAAGGCATAGAGAAATGATTATGATGTACAACAGAATTTGTTGATTCATAATTTAAGACACCACAGATAGCACTCATAATTATGCAAAGTTGAAGGCCATATACAAATTAAACATAAAGAAGACTTCATAAGAAAATTTCAAAGCAAGTTGAGAAGGCGACTGATATAAGATTTATAGAAACCATTTCACCAATTGAAAACATGAAAATGTAAATGAAAACTCCAAGGATCAAGGTGCATGACATGAGCCTACATTAGGGAAAGGACTGCTAGAGATCAATATCTTCCTCACTGTACTACTAATTTATAGACGAAAACCCTGTACCGTACCATTCCAACCATGTCTTCTTCTTCTTGATTTGTCTTTTATCAGAACATTAACACTAATGAAAACACAGATATACCTACATAATACATACATAGGAATATATAAAAGGAGGTAAAAGGGGAGGAGAGAGAACCTCTAATCTCACAGGATTCTTGGGAATCATCATGTCTAAACGATTAAGTTCTGTTAAGAGGGTTTTAACACGCTCAGACCTGAAAAGGAAAAAAAAAAAAATTGTCAAACACTGTCTGCCATTCTATTTAAGAAGTAAGAAGATCAATAATTGCATCATATATATAGAAATTGCAAAAGATAAAGAATGTTCTTTTCCAAAATGTAAATTATAAAAACCACTACATAATATTTCTCCCATTAATCTTTTCTCAATCTATAAAAGGTCTAACCATGGCGGAATTGCACCCATTATACTCTGTAATTGTGTTTAGTGCATTAACACTACCTCAGGCATGCTTTTTGTACATAGATATGAGGCAATTGTTATTATTAACTACTACGTATTAAGTATGATCCTCCACATTAGAAAGAAAGGAATGTCTTCTGCCCTCATCAAGCATAAATTTTACAGTCGCAATTTGTGGAAAAAACATTAAGGCCTTGTTTGGTTTGATGTAAAATATTTTCAATGAAAAGTTGGTTTTCAAGGAAAACCATAATTGCAAATAAGTTTTCTTTTGTTTGATTCATACAAGAAAAGTTATAAGGAAATTAAAAAGGAGTGGAAATTTGAGGATGGATAAGAGGGGTGGAGTTGGGAGGAAAATGTGGTTTTCCTTGTTTTGTAATGGGAAGTGTTTTTCATCATTGGGAAAATTGTTTTCTACTCCTTTACAAACCAAATAAAGAAAAATAGATAAATGTGAACATTTTACATCAAATAAAGAAACCATGTGCGCGCGGGATGTGCCATGGTATTGCCAAACAAATGTATGCAAGCCCACAACTTGCTGCTAGCTTGGATGACAGGATGACTTTACTTCATAAAATGTGAGTACACTTAGAATGATGAAATATTGAAATGAATCATTAAGTGATTTTGAGTAAAGTAAGATTTCCCTTTCAAAGGCAAGTCACAAGAAGTGAGGTATGTCATGATAGGAAAACCAGCCCTTTGTAAGCCAAACATAACTTACATAAGGGCACCAGCCGCGTCACATTGTGGATATGAACTTGTCTAAGTGAATGTGATCATGCTAAAGATCGTATTCTTTCTCTAATCCATAACTTTATCAAAGAGAAAAAGAAAGGGCTACATCAACCTCAATGACAAAGCAGGACAATTTTATGCTAGTTAACATGCAACAAATAGTCAAATATATAGCATCATCTTAAGCAGTACTTGAAAAATCACAAACAAATAAAATGAAATACGTACTTGTGATTCGGCCAGATCCAAGTTGGGGGTGGCCACAGTACATTAGAATAGCCAGGGTGTGATCTAATAGCACTGAGATGAGCAGCATCATCCAAATTCCATACACTAACATGAAGGTCATGTTGTTTAAACTTAAGCAAGGGAGGTTCATCATCAATTCCACTATAATTCCTAAAACTCTGTTCTTTAAAAAGGATGCAATTTTTCCCATGGGAATCATGGAGCAACTCCGCTGGCGCGGAGAAGGAAAATTCAGAACCAAAGAAAAAAGTCTGATCACCAATACTTTTAACCCCAACCCATTTCTTTGAACTCTCATTCAGCTCATAAACTTTAAACAAACTAACAATTTTCCCAGAACATTAGATCGAACGACTAGATATAATCTCCCAATCGATTCCACAACACGTTTCCGCCTTCCACCCCCTCCAGCAATGGGTGGGCTAACAACATTCACTTTCGATGAGTTCCTAGAGCAACCAATTTCAATTTCATACATCCGTCCCCTACGATTAATACCTAAAACCTGGCCCTTAAAATCGATAATGTCATCAAAACGAAAGCGTCTACCATCATGTATAATCTCCCAATTAGTTCCAGCACTCAAATTCTCAAAACTACCCCCAAAACCCAACCTAAGCAGCCCCAATTTCCCTTCATGTGAGAGGACAACAACAGCAAAACCATCCCCATTTGAGACCAAAACAATCTTAAGAACTTCCCCAAACCAATCACGAGGTTTCGAAACCGTACCACCCCCATCTTCAGGAAGATAAGTAAGATTATAAAATCGACCCAATTCAGTAATACGATACTTTAACAAATATATACTGTCAGGAAAATTCATAGGCATAGAATAAGCAATTTCTGAAAAGGGTTTACGAATACTCACTTTATCAATTTGAGGTTGATCAAGAAACAGAACCCATGCATTAGCCATTGAAGATGGGGTATAATCAGGATCAAATTGTGGGCGAAGAGCGAAGATAGCAGTGCCGGATAACAAGGAAGGGTTGGAATTTGGAATGGCATAGTGGTGAAGGAGAGGATCAGGCGGAGATGGGGTGATCAGAGGCAGGGGAGAAAACAGAGACTGCGGCGAAGAGGAGAGAGAAAATGGAGAAGAAGACAACCATGAATGACATACGCTACGGAAGCTTAAAATGTCAAGTGGGTTTGTGTATAAACGTTTAGATATGTCGGAAAGAAGTTCATCAGGAAGGTCTGACCATGGTGGAATTACACCCATTTTACAGAGTATGCAAGTACTCTGTTTCAATTTTACTGTATTTTTTTAAAAAAAAAAAATATTTTTTTTTCTTGGTTTTGTGGGTTTAGGTTTAGAGCAATTGAAATTGAAATGAAGAGAGAACTTGATTGTGTGTTTTTTATTGCATTATATGCTAAGAAATCATATCCAATGCAATAATGGCATGTAATAATGCCAGCAACGGTTGCAGAAACACGGGATATTGTCTGGTTGACCATTGACTGAACCAATTTAAATGACGGTAATGAAGTATTTATTTTTACTGAAATTAAACTATTAAGAATTTTATTGAAGAGAACATCGTCTATTATTTCAAATTATTGTAGAATATCGAAGCTTAATATTTACATTACTTTCTATTTTGACACTAAATCACTATTATTGACTATGCTCTTTTTGCTAAACTTAAATTATCTTCATCTTAATGCTATTGAAATGAAGACAGAATTTGATAGTATATTATATGTTAAGAAAAGCATATCTATTGCATTAATGTTATTCAATAACGCACACAACGGTTACAGAAAATACGGGATATTGTTTGGTTGACCCTTAATTAAACAAATTTGAATGACAATAGTAACTGTATTATTTTTGTAAGAAATTAAACTACTTTATATTTGATCGAATATTATCGAGTATAAAATTAAGGTGAAGAGTACATGACCTATTATTCAAAATTATTGCATAGTTTTGCCGATCCAAAATATTTGTAATACTTTCTATTTTGACACTAAATCACTATAGATTTTGCTTTTTTTTGCAAAAATTAAATTTTCTTCATCTTATTTTTGAAGAGAGAACTTGATTGTATGTTAATATTGTATTAATTGCTAAGAAAGCATGTCCAATGAAATAATGTTATGAAATTA